TTTTATAGATTTTAATGATTTATAAAAAATTTAAACTATATTTATGTTTCTTTAAAAAAATCATTTTTGTGCTAATAGTAATGCTAATGATAACTCAATTCAGAAGAAAAACTTCCTGATCTTTCAAATTTCATGGTCACAGGAAATAAAATATATTAAAATTTTAAATCTCTATTTTTGTTGGAGAGAAACATGATCTAGTGAACAAGAGAAATGCTTCGAGCATAAAAAGGTGCTACATTAGGATAAAATTCCGTAAGGGTGGAAGCCTGGAATTATGAGTTAAAGGAGCAAGAGGCAAGATGAAAAGTTTCTAAATGTTAAAGAAAATCTTACATTTAGGAGTGAAGCTTTTGTTTTAAAATGTCAATATTGATAATCAACTGGGATTATGTCCTTTGCAACTCTTTCAAAAATTATATATTTTGCAACATTTCTTTGGACAAAAACATTAGATTTCAACATAAAGAGTGTGAGAAGGTTCATATTTTTTTCCAAATCCTCTTTGGAAAAGTGTGAAACATTGGAAGGCGTTGCCCTAAAGAAATTTACTCAGGTGTATTAGAAGAACTGTCAAAATTTTTCACAGTAGCATTTTCAAATAGCCAAAAAAATAATTATTTTTTAAGTGTAACAAACCAAATGTCCATTAAGAGGACTGACCCCTGGCATGAGCAAAATATGCCAAAGGGCAGGTGTACCCAGGTGCTCCAGAACTGGTCTAGTGCAGTGGTTGGCACACTACAGCCCATGGCCCAAATTTAGCCTGTCACCTGCTTTTTTGTTTTTTAAGATTTATTTATTACTTTATTTATTTTTGGCTGCATCAGGTCTTAGTTGCGGCACACGGGATCTTTGTTGCGGCACGTGGGCTTCTCTCAAGTTGTGGCACGGGGTCCGGGACGCGTGGGCTCTGTGGTTGGCGGCACACGGGCTCTAGGGGAGGCGCGCGAGCTCAGTAGCAGCGGCGCACAGGCTTAGCTGCCCCGCGGCCTGTGGGACCTTAGCTCCCTAAGCAGGGATGGAACCCGCGTCCCCTGCATTGGAAGGCGGATTCTTTACCACTGGACCACCAGGGAAGCCCCTGTCACCTGTTTTGTAACTAACATTTTCTTGCAACACGCCAATTCATTTACGTATGGTTCATAGCTGCTCTCATGCTACACAGCAGAGTTGAATATGTGGACACCACATGGACCAAGCTAATTTGCTCATTGGATAAGTTTTGGCTTTTTACAGAAAAAGTTTTCTGCCCCCTGGTTTAGTTCATCAAGCTGGGGGTGTGGAGGTGAGGCGGCAGGCACAAGCATCCTTTATTTTATTGTTTTTAAAAAATTCTTTTAAAAATTGAAGTCTAGTTGTCATGTTAGTTTCAGGTGTACAGCACAGTGATTCAGTTCTCTGTATATATGTTATTCTATACATATATTCTTTTTCATATTTTTATACATACATTATACGTTATTATAAAATATTGAGCATAGTTCCCTGTGCTGTACCGTAGGTCTTTGTTGGTTATCTAGTCTTTATAGCTTATTCGTACTTTATGTTTATTTTTTTGTAGGTACGAAATGTGGTATGTATTTTTATTTATTATAAAATATCAAAGAATACTTTCTATTTCCATACAACACAAAATTCTAAGGAGGTCGTAAGAGCACCCTGGACTATTAGAGCATAATTTTTGAGGAATAAGTTTTCTTTAGTATCGTTTCTCACTGTGTGCTCTGCAGTTAACTCGTGTCAAGGATGATCTACTAACAAAAGTATGTAGAAATAGGAGGATGGTGTTCCAGGATCAAAAAAGTTTAGAAAAACCACATCTATACCTCCACTTCAAGATTCACAATGCACATGATTAATGCATTAAAGGCTCTGACAAGTCCTGTGCAAAAGTGACCTGTTTACACTTGTTTAACCCTGAATTTTCCAAAAACTTTTGAATACATCCTTTTTTTTTTTTTTTCACACAACATCTATTCCCTGGGACATGCTTTTGGCAACTCTCTAATAATCTAATGGCAGCGGGAGGAAGAGAGGTCCAGAGAGAAGCAAAGGGCAATGACAGTGGTTTTGGGTGATTCTATATGGTTCTGTTTCTGTGGAACAGAAAGGTATGGATTGAGATAGGAAACACTTTAAAGAAAGACTCAAAATACTAGAACTATATTTGAACATGAGGAAGGAGGCAGGGAGATAGAACATGACCATTCTACACATTTGCATATTGGAGTGAATGGGGACAACTGAAGGGGAGAAGATTGTGGTGGCAGAGGCTGGACCAGTCCATCTGTGGCGCAGACTAAGTGCCTGCTGCCAGATCTGATGAGGCTGCTGCCTGTGTTCCTGCCGGTCAGGGAAAGGCAGAGAGGGAGCTGAACAAAAACTCTAGTAGATCAGCATGAATTTATTGCTGGATAAACCCACCATTGCTCTCTTCTCACAGGAGAGAGGGCAAAGCTCACCGGCTCTGCTGATGAGGTCTTCAGGAAACCTGTCAGCAAGCATACTCTGCTTTGGTTCATAAAGTTTTCAGTTATTTCTTGTTATTACAGAATGGGACAGCCAACAAATTTCCCTTCAGTGTGCTCATGTACTGTGGCCTGAGCCAAGGTCAGGGTTGGTGTTTGTGGAAAATGTTGTAAGAGGGCTTTGCATCCGCTGCTGCTTGTACTTTGTTTCTGAGCAGAATGTTGGAAAGGAGGGAAGATTCTTTGATTATTGGACTTCAGCCTTATATGTCAAGTGGGTCAGAAACTCTGAGCAAAGTGGAGGAATGAGGTAAGGACGAAACTGTGAGAGAAAAAAAACGAACACAAAAAAGTGCACTTGTCTGTCTTTGATCCTGGCGAGTGAGAAGAGCTGGAGAGCTGGCGAGCTCGTGGGGATGGCCCTTGGAAATGTCCTTATCAGCTGCTCTTCCTCGGGTCCAGGCCCCACTCCTGCCCTCAGGACCATCACCATCAAAACCCCACGGCTGATCCCTGTCCCGTGGAGCCGTCTAATCTTCCCTAAATACAGCCTTTTCCCTTATTTTCTTCTGACCTTAAGATTGTCCCTGAACCATCTATAAAGAATACCTGTTTTTGAGATTCTGAACAAAACAACAGCTTAAAGCCATGCTTTCTCTTAGAGTGCACTAAGTCACGTAGGCTAAACTTCAAGGCTCACCAGCCTGAGCCTGGGCCTGCTCAGGCACCTGGGGGCCCTCGGCCTCCTGCCCTGGCCTCCCTGGCCTGTCCAGGCTACCTGCCTTGTTCTGTGAGAACACTGTCCTGACGCCACAGCTCTGCTCTTGGTGGCCCCCAGCCCTTGAGGGGCCAAAGCCATGCTGTGGCCTGTGCCACACATCCCCCTCCACTACCTGTGTGGGGAACCACGACCTCCGGGAGGGCTGGGACTGCAGCCTGGCATTGAGTGGCTGGCCCATGGTGGACACTAGTGGCTTAATAAATGTTGGGCAAAAAGTGAATTGATGAGAGTGGCAGCACCATCACCTGTGTGCCTGTTCCAGCTTTCGCTAGGTGAGCAGGAAAGGACAGGAAGTGAGAGGCTGAGGGAGGAGGGCCAGGGGCAGTGGGGAGTACGAAGGAACATGCATGCTTGCTGTTGGCCTTGTAGATTGCTTATAGTTTTGATCAAGCGACCTTTCTTCTGAAGTCGAAACAGTGGAGCCAGATTTCAATGGGAGTTTATCATGAAATTATATCATCTGAAGGCTGGCAGGAAGAGATGGGGGCAGGAACAGAAGAAATGCCTGAACCACGAGACCAGTGATGGTTATAGAAAGCTCTAACACCCAGACATCTGTACTTCTGCACTATTACAAGGCGATAATTATTTGTAAAGGGGGCAAGAGGACTGACATCTTGGAAGGGGTGGCCTTTGTGTCAAGTGCTCTACTTAATTTATTTAAGAGGAGACTTCCCTTAATTGAACTCAGATACTCAGCAAAGGAAATGTTTGATCATTACCAAAAGTGTTGGGGGAGGGGGAGCAGCCTGATAGTAACATCCTGTTTCTCTGTCTGCTCCATTTCTCCCACCTGGGTCTTCTCCAGCCATCATTCTACAGCTGTCGAGGCACCCTCTGCCCTCTGACCATCTTGCCCCACCTCCTGTGTTAACACTATCAGGGTGGCAGGGTTTTTATGGAATATACTAAAAGCCATGGGCCACTAGCACCGGGGCATGGAGTTATCTTGCTTCTTCCGGGCTGGAGCTGTTCCCTAATTCTTCAGGCTGCAGCCAGTCTGAGAGAAGGTTTGGCCTCCTCCCTACTTAATCCTTCAGTGTCCTCTGAGAGCTGTAGGAGCCTTGTGCTGGAACCCTGTCACTCTTCCTGGCCCCTCCACTCCCAGCCACCAGATCATACTGTTTTTCTCTCCTTTAACCTATTAAAACATGATCTAAGAATGGGACTCCTTTTGATCGTAAGGTAGATTTTTGAAAAAGTGTTGTTAGATTCTATATTTTAACATGGTTAAAATTCTATATTTTTACACCAATACCCATATGTGTATTGGCTTGTAGTTTTTTCTTTTCCTTCCAGTTTTACTGAGATGTAACTGACATACAATGCAAAGTTTAAGGTGTGCAACATGATAGCTGGACATACGTATATCTTATGGAATGATTATTGCAATAAGTTTAGTTAACATCCATCACCTTGCATATACTAAAAAAAATTTTTTCCTTGTGATGAGACCTTTTAGGATCTACTCTCTTAGCAACTTTCAAATATACCATATAGCAATGTTAGCTATAGTTATGGTGCTGTACATTACATCCCCAGGATTTATTTATCTGATAACTGGAAGTCTGTACCTTTTGACCCCCTTTACCAGTTCCCCCGACACCAACCCTCTGCCTCTAGCAACCAAAAATCTGATCTATTTTTCTATGAGTTTTGTTTTTTGGGGTTTTTTTAGAGTGCACACATAAGTGAGATCATACAGTATTTGTCTTTCTCTGTCTGACTTACTTCACTGAGCGTCATACCTTCAAGGTCCATCCATGTTGCCACAGAGCCTGTAGTTTTCTTTTGGTGAACTATCTTTGTGAAGTTTTGGTAACAGTGTCATGATGAATTCATAAGAGAAACTGTGAAGCTTTTCTTCTTTCTCTGGTAAAATCAAAACATAGAGGAATTATTTGTTTGTTAAAGGTTAGAAGGGAATTGACCTCTAAATCCATCTGGACCTGTAATTTTTTAGGGGGTGGGAGGGAAAGAGATACTGCTCTTTGACAAATTTCTCATCTTCTCCATAGTTAGTTATAGGTTTAGATTTTCTACTTTTTTTAGTACACTTTAGCAACGTATACATAAAAATATTTCACAATTTAAAATTTATTTGTATGGAATTATGTAAAATAATTTCAAAAAAATTTAAAATTTCCCCTATATCTGTGGTGATTTTTATTTTTGGGGAGAAGTATTTGTGACTTCCTTGTTGTTTTCCTTATTAATCTAGTGGGAGGTGTTGCTCTTTCGCTATTGTAATTCATCCTTATTTATCTCTTAAGAACATGTTGCATAGATTTAGCTTTCTAACCCAGTTTGATAGGCTTTGATCATGTACTGAATTAATCATATTAATTCAATAAATATTTATCATGCATAATCCTTAAAAGATACCAGAGGATTATTGTACAGATGAATTGTTTTACAAGCATTAGCACAATTCCAGAAGAATTGTAAGTGCTCAACAAGGGTTATTCTATGTAATAATAAATTGCGAATAAGACAGTGTCCCTGCCCATATAAAGATGACAGTTTTCTTTGACTTTTAATAGGTAACTTAAACGTATTCATATTATTGTAATGTCTTTTCAAATTTCTATTATCTAACCTTATTTTATTTTTGTCATGCTTTGCTGACTTTTTCCCTATTAAAAAAGTTTCCTTTAATCCTGATGGTTTCTTTCTATTGGTTTGGATGTTCTACAATCCATTCATTCATTTAGTTTTTTATTTGCTCTTTCTTGGATATTCCTTCCTTCACCTTTTATACCAAATTTATCTTCTGGGAACTTTCCACTATCAGCCATGCTGGGTGGTGGCAGCTGCATACAGAGAAGAAATGGGAGCACCAGCTTCAGAGGGTAAATAGTTCCCACTGATCACGGAAAAAAATGATAAATAACAGATACAGAGTAAAGCAGCAGGAAGACAGAGTGGTTGGCTATTTTTTAAAAATTGCACTGACTCAAAACTTTGAAGCAATATAGCAGGCTGTGTAGCCCACTCCCTTGAAGACCAAGACATTCACCAGCCACAATCGTTCATTCATTCATTCATACACGAAGTATGTACTGAACACCTGCTATGTACCAGGTACTCTCCCAGGCAGTGATGGTGGTGAACAAGACGGATAAGATTTCTTCCACGTGGAGTTTACATTCTTGTGATGGGAGAAAGAAACAAGAAGTAAACACACTAATTCAGATTGTAGTGAGATGACGTGAGAAATAAACCTGATGGTAGAGACTAGTTGGGGGGGGGAGAGGGTAATCATGCCACTTTACGTGGGTTGGTCAAGGAAGGAAGCATCAGTTCAGGAGACAATTTTGCCAAGACAGGCAGAGAGCAGTCAGCTCTGCTAAGAGCCAGACAAGAAGATTTCAGGCAGAGGGAAAAGCAACTGCCTGTGCCCTGTGTTGACTAAACGAAAAACACACAATGTAAAAGTTATGAGTTAAATTTTATTCACGGAGCTTACTGAGGACTATAGCCTGGGAGAGAACCACTCAGAGAGCTCTGAGGAACTGCTCCAAAGAGGTAAGAGAGGAGCCAGGATGTCTCTGAACTCTTTTCTGCTTGGAAAAAAAATGTAGTCTGGCATCAAAAGATGACTGCTAATCATAGAGAACAGACATCTCAAGTTAATGATTTTAGTGCTTTTCTATGTACGGGGAAATGTAAGACTCTGGGGTCATTGGACATTTTTCCTTAGATATGTATCTTAACTACCTAGGGGCCGGTATATTCAAAGCACAAAATGCTTCCCGTTTTTCTCCATCCTGAATTCCCCTGAAGGCGACTGAAGGGGCTAATGGTTTGATCTTTGTAGTACTGGAATGGCAGGCAACATTTTTTTCTTTACCCCTAGGACAGGAAAGAACTTGGAATCTTTAAGGAACAGCGAGGAAGCCTGCAAGTGGGACACATGATAAGCCAAGGGAGAGAGTCACAAGATGTGGGAGGAAAGGCAGTAAAGGGACAAAGTGCAGAGGCCTTGAAGGCTCTATTGGAAGTCTGTATTTCACTGTGAGTGCAGTGGGAACTCCTTGATGCATTTTTAAGCAGGGGGTAACATGATCCATTTTCATTGTTAAAAAGGTATAGTGAAGAGAATGGTTTGTAACAGTCGTTCTCAAGCTTTAGCATGAATCAGAACGACCTAGGGAAAACACAGATTGCTGGGCCCCACCTCCAGTGTTTCTGAATCAGTAGGTTTGGGGCGAGGCCTGAGAATTTGCATTTCTAACAAGTTCTAGGTACTACAGACTGAATTCTGTCCCTCACAAATTTGTATGTTGAAGCCCTAACCCCCAGTGTGGTGGCATTAGGACATGGGGCCTTTGGGAGGTAATTAGGTTTCAGTGAGGTCATGAAGGTGGGGTCCACATGAGGGGATTAGTGCCCTTATAAGAAGAGACATCTCTTTCACTTTCTGTGCCATGTAAGGACACAGTGAGAAGGCAGCTGTCTACAAGTCAGGAAGCAAGCCCTTATCAGAGCCCAACCATGCTGGTACCTTGATCTTGGGCTTCTAGGCTCTTGAATTGTGAGAAATAAACTTCTGTTGTTTAAGCCACCCAGTCTGTGGTACTTTGTTATGGCAGCCTGACTAAGATACTAGGTGATGCTGATACTGGGCTGGGCCCACTCTGCTGAGAACTACTGCTCTGAGAGAACCAAGAATAGGTCCATGGAGACCAGTTAGGAGCTATTTCAGGGATCCAGGTGAACATGGACATGGTGGTACAGTTTCAATGGAAAGGAGGTTGAGAGGGAATCAGTCAGTTGATCTATAAAAAGCATTTACAGTCATAAAAACAAGAAAAGTCGATGTAGTTCCTGACTAAAATTTACTCTAAAGTTTGCAAAGAAATTCTACAACCTTGTTTCAACATTATTCTATTCTTCTTTTAAATATTTTAAAGTCCCAAATAAAAAGGTTGAGATAAATCGGTAAAACTGAGAACTGAACGTTTTCTCTGACTTACATAATGTGTGGGCATCTTTTTAAAATTCTTATGTCAGCATAGGATGTCCCTCCCTTTCTGTCCCTTTTTAAAGCACCTAATTAGGCATCCATCCATGAATAAAAATGCCTTGTGGGAGTTGTGGGATCCAGCACTATACACCAAGGGACCCAAAAGGAGTCTGCCCACCTGTGCATCTGGTAATACACAGACCTCAGTAAGGGCCATGGGACCAGGGGAGCCAGCAATCCTGCCCCAAACGCTCTTGGCTGTGGCCAGGGAAGACCTGGAGAGTGCTGACTTGGGAAAATACCCAAAGATGAGAGAGAATTTGTTGAAGTCCAGCCTTCCCAAGAGGAGATTCCAGCATGCTGTTAGAAAAAAATATATATGAGTTTGCACACAGTGGCGAGGGTAAGAGGAACTTGGCCAGTGCTGCTTTTCCCCCCAGGACAACACAGTGAGGGGCTGAGCTATCCCTCGGGGACCTCTCCCACGGGGAAAGGGGAGTAGTGAGTGAGTGCCCAGCTACCCCCAGCTGTGAGGAACACAGCTGGAGAAACCCATTTCTCTCCAGAAGCGCCCAGTGCACACAGGCAGGACCTCCATGGTGGGTGGGAGGGAGGAGATCAGGAAAGGGGCAGATGAAAACATCAAAGGCCATTTAAGGGATGCAATTGCTGCTGACTGAGCTCAGGACTCCAGCAGGAAGCTCGCCCACAAGCCACTGGGAGCACCTCCCCTGAGGATCTCTCCACCAGCCACAGGCACCCCCAAGGCCCCAAGACTAAACACACACCTCCCCTCACTCTGTTGCTGGCTTGGTTCTGAGTGTGGTGGCGAGAGAGTCTGGTAAAAGCAGTGCCATCAGAAAAACAGACCAGGATCCGTGGGCAAGGGAGAAGCCACAAACTTGGGCTATAGCGCCACCTTCTGGAAACAAGAGAGGTTTCAGCAGCCAGCCAGGTGAGTTTTAAGAACCAGAGAAGACAGAAAAGCTTAAGAATCCTGCCACAAAAGAAAGCAAGATGTGTGGAGCAGGTAGATACATATCAAGGCAGACAGAAAACCTCAGATGTAATAGCCCCAATGAAAAATACACCCCATCTGAAGGCAACTAGTAAAGCTCTGAGGAGAAGTCTGCTACTTCAAGCGCAAAAGCAGCAATGCAAAGCTATAAGGAACACGATGAATCAAGGAAACGTTGCACCAAAAAATAACAATAATCCTCCAATAACCGAGCTCAAAGGCACAAAATCTTGTGATCTAGCTGTTAAAGAATTAAAAATAGCTGTTCTGACAAAGTAAATGAGCTACAAGAAACAGAAAGACAATTCAGTGATGTCAGGACAAAAATATATGAACAGACTGAGAAATTTAACTAAGAGATATATATCATAAAAAAAGAACCAAACAGAAATTCTGGAGCTGAAGAGTTCAATGAGTGAAATGAAAAATGCAACAGAGTAGATCAAAAGGAAGACAGAGTAAGTTACCTAGAGAACAGGAACTTTGAAATAACCCAGAGAGGAACAAAGGGTGAATGAAAAAGAGTGAAGAAATCCTACATGACCTATGGGACTCAATGAAACATACAAATATCAGAATAATCAGGTTTCCAGAAGGAGAAGAGAGGGAGAAGGAAGCAGAAAGTTTATTTCAAGAAATAATTGCTGAAGAACTTCCCCACCCTGAGGAGAAACATGAACATCCAAGTTCAGGAAGCTAATAAATCACTCCTTATCTCAATGCAAAATGACCTTCTCTAAGACATATTATAATTAACCTATCAAAACTCAAAGATAAAGAGACCATGGCTATCATCAAGAAGACAGGACACAACGTGAGCATGTGGAGGAAAGGGAACCCTTGTACACTGTTGGTGGGAATGTAAATAGGTTCAGCCAAATAGAA